TTCAAACATCATATTTTGGAGCATATCACCATCTTTTTCTGCTATTTCTCCCCATAAAGTTACAGTTTGACGATCATACTTGAGTTTTATAATTCAATATTATATTAACTACATTTAATGCATTTGATCAATTAATAATATGATAGTTAATGTATGATAATAAATGAATAAGTTAACTAAATTCAACTTACCTTTCATTCATTAGCGTTATTTCTCTTCGTTTCCTGTTAACGTCTCTGATGGAAGCATTAACCTTTACTAAGATACCAAGTGTGTCTGCAAAAGAATATTAATAGAGAATACATGTAAATAACTACTAAGAATTAATAAGCAAATAGGAGTAGAATATTATTCATAATGTAAGATTAATCAAAGAAATCTAAAGAAATTACCAAATATTGTTCCATTGGTGCATTGAAATGCCTCTTAGAACGAAACGAAACTGTTTGAGAAGCTAACGGTAGAAAACAGGTTGTTGCATCTCTTGACTATAGTATTATTACCGAACACAATCTCAAATTCTTTGTATACAGATTGAAAATTAGGTTTACGATCATTTATGCGGTCGTTAATGATGTAATAGATATTGCCTTGTTCTAAATGTTCCTTCCACATATTCACTTGATCAGTGAAAAGTATAGCTTGCATTTTTGTTCCCTGTAAAGTTTTATCATAATTTAATATCGTGATTGAATATAATACGAAAAATATCGGATATAATACAAAGATAAAAATAACATTACCTCCTCATCTACAAATATCAGAGTCCATCGAAGGCCTTGATTTGTTTCATTTTTACATTCTTTAACTACTCCACATTAAATAAGTAAGACTTTTATTATCCACTGAGAGTCGGATCTTCTCAAACTGTTAAGTAGCACACATTCGTTTGCAAATTTAATTTCAGTTTCCATTGCGAGTACCTGGAATCAAGTGCGAACACGTGGTCTAATATCAAAAGGGCACTAAAGTCATAAAAGACATTCATAATTTTAAAATTTTTATTTAACAGAAGATTTAAAAGAATTACTTAGACCAATAATATGGATAGCTAATGTACTAATGCATTTTAATCCAACCACAATGTACCTACTATTAAAATTGAGGATTGCTAAGCTTTATATGATTCTATTTATGTTTTGCGTTAATTTTTATGCACATTAAAACCAATTACTTTTCAATAGTAGCATAAATATCAAATAAAGCTAAAACATTTTCAAATATCCCAATCTAAGATTTGGCAATATTATTTCATATTTTCTTGATTCATCACCTTTTGAACAGTAAGCTAGTCTTTTCAAAATATTGATTATGGGGTGTGTTTTCATAATAAGGATTTCAAAAAAGAATATCCCAATCTAAGTTTTTGAAGAGCAACAGAAAAAATCATAGTTGAACTGCAAGTAAGCTACATAACTTTCAGAACATAATATATTACATCATAACCAGAAGATTATATAAAATATTATTTATGAGATCGATAAGGAGAATTGTTTACCTGAAACAACGAAAATTATCAAAACTTTGGATGGATTCAACGACACCAATTGTCAAGGGCTATTCTTTAAGAACATAATTTAAAAATTATGATATGTATACTATAGTCAATTAAAAGAGATAATCACATTTAATTTTGTGAGAAAATATGAGCAACTTCAGTGGCATAACAATTAGCAAGCTGGCATAAGGAGAAGATGTGAGGAACAATCATAATGCTATTTCTAATGGCACAGTGGATTAGAACAGAGGAATATTTTTTAAAAAGATTGATCGGTTTGATGCAATCATTCAACCAATAGTGATAATGCACGAACAATCATTATTACATAACTTCAAGAATATAGTACAAGATAGAAATTTACCGCAAGTGGGAAGCAAATTTGCTATGAGGACGTATGTTTATGACAAAGAATGTAGAAATAGCTTCTTTTATAGTTGTAAAACTCTAGAAACCTAATTTGATCTCAAAACAAAGAAGAAAGAACCTAATACGGTAAGTAAAGGAGAAATTTAATCCATTGTAAAATTCTAGAAACCTAATTTGATTTCAAAACAAACAATGGGAGAAGCCTAATACGGTAAGTAGAAGCCTAACACGGTAAGTAGAAGCCTAATGGAATTGGAATCCAAAACTTATACAAAAGGGAGGTAAACCGCAAGTAGTCGACAATTAGCTTTTTTTTTAATTTTAATTTTTTTGAATAAAATAGTTATTACAATTACTATTATATCCAACATATAATGTACTTACGAAGGGTAAAAAAGGCGAACGATATTTCGATATAGCCTTCGTACTTTTAATATAGTATAGATAGATATAGATTTATCTTAGTTTATATTTTTTACTTAATAAAAAATACTAATTCACTCAGTCAGGCTCCTAATATGCGTGTATGCCCCGTCAATGGTCAGGGGTCTAAAATATATGTTTTGATCGAGTTCAGGTGTCTAGTTGAAATTTCATAAAGTAGGGGGACTTAGATGTCAAATCTAAACAAGTAAAAATATTTACTAGGCTATTCTGTCTTTTTAGACGGAGAGATTTGTGTAAATACAAAAAACTTAAGCACTCTTTTAATAAACTCCTAATAACCTCATAACACTAATACAAAGTGACTCGTTTCAATTTATTAATTAAAACCCTCGTACTCTTTTATAATTAAACGCCCAACTATTTGGCTCCTATAACCCAATAGTTTCCCTTTAAATGATTGATTAATGCATCAAGAGGGAATAGTACGGAAGGAATGATTTAAATTAACTCTTTACAATTAGAACAAAGTAAATTGGATAAAAAGTTTCTATAACCTGAATTTATTCACATTTCCCTCGAATTTACTAAAGTTATTTTTTTAAAATAAAATAGTCACTCAACTTTAATTAAGTATCATGGATGTCACCGAATTATTTTTTTAACTAAAAAGTTACTCAACTTCTAATTATCACATAAAATCACTATGAGAAAAATAAAAAAGAGATTCTTATTATTATAATTAGGCAAAGCTGAATGACATTTTGGTTATAAAAATAATTTAGTGATTTTCATGACACATAAGTAAGTTGAGTGACTGTTTGTTAAAAAAAATATAATAACTTTGGTTAATTTAAGGAACATGAAGAGCTATAAAAACTTTCGGAAAAAAACATAAGTATGAATTACCAACTACACACTTTATCTCTGGAATGATCAAGAGGTAATAGGATGTGGCCAGAGTAATGTATAACTGGAAATCCACGACAAGTTAATTTTATGCCTTTTCCTTAAACTAGATGATGTATCTGTGCGATGCACATGCCCAATTGTTGCTCTTTTTTCTTATTTTTTTCCTTTTAATATTTTTTGGTCTATTGCTAATTACATATTTTATTCGACTTCAGGGAAAGAAAAAAAATATAGGCATTTGTAAATGTATAGAACCACATTTACATATATATATTTAAATCTTTTGCGTTATGTGTATTTTAATTTTTCTGAAATCGTATTACTATACCAATCACTTTGTAATACTTGTTGAAGTCTAACATTTTATTTTACAAAGATTATACAATACTTCAAGCGCACTGTAGAGTATTTCTACATAGATTCTACATATCTTTATTTAAGAAAAATAGTTTTGCACCACCAAACTTAAAATCGATTATAAAAAATTGATTGAAAAGTCAATTGAAAAGTAAGCCGCGATGTATTTTCTCATTGTTTAAATTGAATATATATAGTTTTACTCTTTTAGTATTATCAATTGTGTTAATGTATATTTTTTTTATATTAATCAAAATTTAAATAATAAAACATATTCATTTTATTTCCAAATAGTTGACGAAAAAGATTTTTTTTGTTTTTTGCAAAAAATAATTGTAATTTTTAATTATTCGGAATTTTTTTACCAGAAAATTTGTATGTTATTCTAGTTTAGTGACATATCTGAATAATTTATTTAAAATAAATTTATTTTTCAATCACTCTAAATACTAATCAAAATGACCTTAAATTGAAGCATTGCAGTATTTTTCTAGTTTCATTTGATATGATTGAGATACTCTAGAGTGTAATACAACTTTCTCTACCATAATTATTTGTTGAGTTTTTTTAAAAATTGTTAATTTTATATTTATGTATTTTAAAATTTATATAATGTTGAATTATTTATTGAACACAGAGGAAGTACCCCAACTAAATTTAATCATAGAGAAAAAAGTATAATCATGCAGAATGATACTTCTTATGCTGCCTAATACATAATAAAGAAAATAATTCCCCAAATTAGTTGTCTTAATCTTTTGTTTAGATTATTCTCAAATAATGTTTTATAGAGGGAATCATTATTATACAATTTGAACAATATTCAATATTCTATAATAAAAAAGGAACTTGACTATATTTTATTTTTAAATATTTTTTTCCTAATTTTATAAAGTATTCCAATTAAAATTGCAATTTAATGAGAACTTGTATAAAATTATATCAATTGATACTAATATAAAAACACTTTAATAAAAATTTACATAATTTATTGCCACTTTAAAAAAAAATAGTCTTTACCTAAAATAGTCAATAAAAAAAATAAAATAATATTTCTTAAGGAGACATTAGAATTGTTATATATAAATGTATGTAACCATTGTATGTTTTTAATCAAATAAACGTTGAATTATAAAATTACCCAACAAATAATATTTTTAGTTAAAAGTACTAAATGGAAAAAAAAAATTAGACGGTAAAGGTGTGAAGTAGTCTCCTTTCAAACAAATTGAAGAGTAACATTAATTAAGTAGTGCATTTAAAGAAGATAATCAAGGTTGAATGGGAAGTAGGGTTCACCTAATAATTTAATAGTTTGGCCATACTTTTGGTTTTTTCCGTTAGTAGAAACGGACAATCAAGCTTTTGAGCCTATTATACAATGTAGTTATATTTTTAAAATGACCATGATGCCCTTTGTCGACCTCCTCTTCTCTCTTTTATATAATAGAAGAAATAGAAAAAACTTTTTATTGTTAGAACTTTTTATTGTCAGAAACCACCAGAAGACTATAGTACTAACCCTAATTTTCAGAAACAATTCTCAATCCATTTTCATCGTCCTATTTATACACAAACTTAGCAAAGATAGCACCGAAAGAAAGCTTTGAAGATTTATCAATCTCAACATCAAAGAGGTAAGAGAAAGCTGCTTCTGATTTCAGTAATAGAACCATTTCCTAAAGTTGTTTTTATTTTATTTCCAAGTTTCAACCAAAGGGAAACCATCAAAATCCATCTTCGTACTAACAATGATATAACTTATATTAGATTGTTTTTGAATTATATTAGTCTGCTGGAAACTCTTTTTGCTGAAATCTTGGTTGATATCCTAATTCTGTTGACAAGAATTAGCCCCAAATTTCACGGGATTGGGGTTGCGAGGAAGCTTAAGAGTGTTCTCTTCTCCTTTAAGTTGCTTTCAAGTACTGTTTTGATATTTTGGAATTATTTTCATTGCTTAGGCATTCGCTTATCTGTGTTCCCAGCTGCCTTAATCATGATTTCCGCAGATTCTTGTTTTATGTATTAATTTGGTTTTTTTATGTTGTCTCCTCTTGTCGTTTTGTCTTTTTGTTTTCTTGAGCCGAGTATTTTTCGGAAACAGCCTCTCTACTCCTTTGGGTAGGGGTAAGGTCTGCGTACACACTACCCTCCCCATACCCCATTAGTGGGATTATACTGGGTTGTTATTGTTGTATATAAAAACAAGTATATACAAGCAAACATGCAGAAATGCAATTTAGTCCATCTATGACATGTTATATGAATGAAAGGGCAAAGATTAACGGACTATTGCTAAATTATGTTGTTTTATGTGTAGGAGCATCGGAAGACAACGACGAGTGAAGGTTGCAAAAAAAGATGACGAAAATGCAAGAAAATAGCAAAAAATGCCAAGTACCCAAACCGCGCTACAGACCAGGCTTCGCGAGGTCTATATCCAGCTTGACCGCGCTACAGACCAGGCTTCGCGAGGTCTATAGCCAGGTTGACCACGATCGCGGGTTAAAAGTCTCCAACCCGAATTTGGACTCAAGGACTTCAACTCTAGCCTATAAATACTCCTTAAACATGTCTAAGAGAATAGGAGGACGTTTTTAGTGCAAATTCGACCTAAAGAAGACGCTTTTGGAGAGAGGATTCGACTTAAGGAGGTAAGAACACGCTAGGAGCAAGGCTAAGAATTCTTCTACGAGTTTTTCACTTCCTTCTTCCTATTTCCATTATTGGTTATGATCAATTCTAGTATTATACTTTAGCATACTATTATGAATAGCTAATTTGTTATCTAGGGTTTTGATGGAACCTTTTGTGGGATGGATTCTTATTACGTTTTTATATAATTGAGTCGTTGGATTTCTCTTCTTGTTCAACTACGTGTTTATTGATGTTGATTGAATGGCCATCAATTGACTGTGCCTATTTAATGTATATATTTCTCGAGAGAGAGTACACATTTAGGTAGTCGTTGAACAACATCACTCCTAACGTATATGAGAGATCAATACGAAAAGTTTAAAGGCGGGATTAGAGATAATGAAACATTAGTGCGGTCGTAGTGAGCGGTGAGTTAGTGACAACTAGCGTAGTTCGAGAGAATATGTCTAGTAAATTGTGGTAGTTGCTCGAAAGAGAATTACGACACCCGAAGTACTCACGATCGGTAGAGAATACTTAGGAGAAATTATAGAAGACGTAGCGGGAAGGATTCCGACAATTGGGGAAATCATAACTCTAGACCTCCTTAATCTATTCTGCAACCCTTATTATCTTTAGTTGTTAATATACTAGTTTAATTTATTAGTTAATTAGATGTAAGAATCTTAATATTTATAACTTAGAAATTGTTCGAGCTTGTCTTGTTAGTGATAGTTAACAGTTCTAGCTAAACCTTAGTTCTATGTGGGATTCGACTTCGGACTTCGGACTTTTAGACCGGATTATATTTGCAGCGACCGCTTATCCATTTTAGGACTAGAGTTGGGCGTGATCACTTACTTTTGTTAATGACTTTGCAGATCAGTTTACTGCTCCATAGGCACACGATTTTGTTGTTCTTGCCTCATTTTCAAAACCTAAAAGAATTCCAACTTTGTGGCATCCAGAAAAGGTTCATGCAATCCCACTAAGTCAACTTTGTGTATTCTAACTAGTCTTTCACTTGCACCTTGTGATCTCATCCCCCTTATATTCCAATTGATGATGTTAATCATTAAAACAAATTGGGTTTTGCTTAGCACCTTCAGTTTTGTTGGTATTGTCGGGCTTGGCTGGCCCTCCCTTATCTTCTTGAATGTTAAACTAAAATGAAAAAATTATATGTTCTTCTACATACTCGCCTTGTCATGATACATTCTTTATTGAGATACACGTAGTAGAATTTGATAAAACCTAAAACATCTTCCTAAGAAGTTCTGAGATGGTATGAATTATCATAATATAATGGCACCATTAAATTAAAGCATCATCCTTATATGCAACAGCTATTTCGAAAATCAAGAAAACAAGAAACTAAAACTCACCTTATAATTGTACAGTCAAGGCAAATAAACTGTCCAGGAAGAGAGAAGACTAAAAGAAACAAGGGAAATTGGAAGAGGAGGTAAGCAACGGTGGAAATTTTGAGGAAGAAATATAGACTGTGCAAATCGGGTGGAAACAGAGTGTAGATATGTTCGTTTGAGCGGTGTAAAGTACGTGTCAAAATAAAGTAGGGTTAACATGTGACTTATGTCAAAATATTTGTAGCTTTCCCAAAACAAGGGAATCAGTTTGTTAAGTGCTCTTATAAGTGCTTATGCAGTCAAGAGTAATAAGGAAAGGGATAGATGATCACACTGTTTCAGATCTCTGGAGGATATGAAGAATCCATGTTTGATTCCATTAATAAGTATGGAGTACCAGTTATTAGTTAGGAGTATTCTGAGAAGTTCATTTTCCTGTGGATAGCTATAAGGAAGCTCCGGGATAGCTTGTCGTATGCTTTAGACAATCAAGCTTAATAACAATGTTGCCTCCCTTATTTCTTTCCCAATCCTATGAACATTTTCCTGGGCTAGGAGGATATTTTTAGTGATGAGTCTGCCTTTCACGAACTTAGTTTATTTGTCTGAAATGAGTTTAGGGAGCGGTTGGGAAATACCGATAGAGATAATCTTGTTGGAGACATTGCAAAGGCTAATTTGTCTTAGTTACGCCACAGTAGTGGGGGAAGGTACCTTGCGAATAAGCACAAGGTTAGTATGAGTGTAGTATCATGTGAGATTAGTGCCTAGGAAAACATTCCGAAAAAAGTTGCAATCTTCCTTTTTGATAGTGCCCGAGGACGCTTGAAAGAAGTGGCCATTGAATACATCATGGCATGTAGCACTATTTGGGTCAATAGAGAAAATAGCACTTCTAATTTCTTCTACCTCTCAGATGTCATAAATGAGCCTATTATTATCCTCAGTGAAAAGAGGTTCTACTTATCTGAGAATAGACATGTCATTATCTCAAGGAGTAAGTGTAAAAAGGTTATTGAAATGATCCACAACTGCATTTGAGATGGCTTCATTGCCCTCGATCCATGCTCTATGCTTAGTTTTATTCCTCTGTGTGTAGGTGAGACTCCCTTCTTTTTTCCTTTTCTTTATCACACTGTATTAATATTTGGAGTTGGAACACCTTGTTTTGCCCACTTCATCCTTGCTTTCTGTTTAAGAATAGATTCCTCCATTTAGAGCCATTTAATGCACCTCATCTATGTTCCAGTTCCCTAACTATAGATACATAATCACTCTGTATGGTCCAAATGTTTAGGAATCTCAGAACCTGTCTTAGCTTTATGATCAACTTTGTTGACCTGAAAGTGGTTTGTGCCTTCCTCATTAACCATAATCCTATCTAGCCTCTTGTTGATTCTTCTCCCTTTTCCCTACCCATTGCACAGATTTCCAGTGAATCCATTGTCGGACATGCCACCGTTTTCCATACAAGCAATAAAATCAGTGCTTTTGCTCAGGTTGTATGGTGTACCTCCTTTTTCATTATTTATCATAATGGATTCCAGACCGGAAAGCATTTAGTCTGCTCCAGAGCCTACGTCTTTTCACTAAGTGGATTTAGCATACACCCATGTGATCCATAGAAGTTTATTATCATAGTTGGCCTTTAGAGTATGTTGTTGCTTACTGGTGTTAGGCCAAAATATTATACTTTTAGTACATTACTCACCTTACATGTTGTTAGTTTAGTAGTTAATTGTGCGACGTTTGAGCTAAATTATGTTTTTTTATGTGTAAGAGCATCGGAAGACAAAAACAAGTGAAGGTTGCACAAAAAGATGACGAAAATGCAAGAAAATAACACAAAAATGCCAAATACCCAAATCGCGCTACAGACCAGACTTCGCGAGGTCTATAGCCAGCTTGACCGCGCTATAGACCGGGCTTCGCGAGGTCTATAGCCAGGTTGACCGTGCTATAAGTCTGGCTTCGCGAGGTATATAGTCCGGTAATTAAAAATCGCGGGCTAAAAATCTCCAACCGAGATTTGGACTCAAGGACTTCAATCGTAGCCTATAAATACTCCCTAATCATGTCTAAGAGAAGGGGAGGACATTTTTAGTGCAAATTCGACCTAAAGAAGATGCTTTTGGAGAGAGGATTCGACTTAAGGAGGCAAGAACACGCTAGGAGCAAGGCGAAGAATTCTTCTACGAGTTTTTCACTTCCTTCTTCCTATTTTCATTATTGGTTATGAATTCTAGTATTGTACTTTTGCATACTATTATGAATAGCTAATTTGTTATCTAGAGTTTTGATGGAACTTCTTATTACGTTTTTTTATAATTGACTCGTTGGATTTCTCTACTTGTTCAACAACGTGTTTATTGATGTTGATTGAATGACCATCAGTTGACTGTGCCTATTTATTGTGTATATTTCGAGAGAGAGAGAGTACACATTTAGGTAGTCTTTGAACATCATTCCTAACGTATGTGAGAGATCAATACGGAGAGTTTAAAGGTGGGATTAGAGATAATGAAACCTTCATACGATCGTAGTGAGTGGTGAGTTAGTGTCAACTAGCGTAGTTCAAGAGAATATGTCTAGTAAATTGTGGTAGTTGCTTGAGAGAGAATTACGACACCCGAAGTACTCCGATCAGCAGAGAATACTTAGGTGAAATTATAGAAGACGTAGCGGGAAGGATTCTGACAATTGAGGAAATCATAATCTAGACCCTCCTTAATCTATTCCACAACCCTTATTATCTTTAGTTGTTAATCTACTAGTTTAATTTATTGGTTAATTAGATACAAGAATCTTAATATTCATAACTTAGGAATTGTTCGAGCTTGTCTTGTTAGTGATAGTCAACAGTTCTAGCTAAATCTTAGTTCTTTGTGGGATTCGACTTCGGACTTTTAGACCAAATTATATTTGTAGCGATCGCTTATCCATTTTAGGACTAGAGTTGGGCGTGATCACTTAATGTTGTTAATGACTTTGCATATCAGTTTTTGGCTCCATAGGAACAAGATTTTGTTGTTCTTGCCGCATTTTCAAAACCTAAAAGAATTCCAACTCTGTGGCATCCAGGAAAGGTTCATATAATCCCACTAAGTCAACTTTGTGTATTCTAACTAGTTTTTGACTTGCACCTTGTGATCTCACCCCCTTTATAGTCCAATTGATGATGTTAATCATTAAAACAAATTGGGTTTTGCTTAGCACCTTCAGTTTTGTTGGTAATGTCGTGCTTGGCTTACCCTCCCTTATCTTCGTGAATGTTAAACTAAAATGAAAAAACAAATATGTTATTCTACATACTAGCCCTGTTATGATACATTATTTATTGAGATACACGTAGTTGAATTTGATAAAACCTAAAACATCTTCCTAAGAAGTTCTGAGATGGTACGAATTACTATAATATAATGGCACCAATAAATTAAAGCATCATCCNTGTGGTCTTTTTGGAGAAGTTCGTACCTCAGTCCCGGAGAGAAGAGCTGTGCAGACAGGTTGAGGAGCTTTGCCAAGGTGATATATCCGTGACGCGGTACGAGATGAGATTTTTTGAGTTGGTTCGTCACGCAGTCTTGATGGTTCCCACTGATAGGGAGAGGATTAGGAGGTTCATTGATGGCCTCACATATCAGCTGTGGTTACTTATGACTAGGGAGAGAGTATCTGGTGCTACTTTTGATGAGATAGTTGACATTGCTCGGTAGATAGAGATGGTTTGTAGCTAAGAACGTGAAGAGAGAGAGGCTAAGAGGCCTTGTGGTATGGGTGATTACAACGGTGTTCCTTTAGGTGGTCAGTCTCACCGTGGTAGGGGTCATTCTTATAGACACACTCAGACGGGTCGTCCAGCTCATTGT